ATCAGTCCGTCGGCAAGTCTCTGGAGTGTGCTGTTCAAGCTGCACTATATTTCAAGTCCGGCCCAGCTGACAGATATGCTGCCACCTGCTGCCCCTGAGCAAGCCCGCCCCAAAACCCGCCACCAACATCAAGTGAAACACTCCCATGCCTTCCAGTTGTCAAATCCCCTCCCCACAACAAGTCCTGACATCCTACACTGATCCTTCCTGTTCGGCCTAATAACAACATGGGATGCCCTCTGCCATCCTGAACGCTCCCCATTCAAGGCAGTGTTGCAACGCTTCACAGTAGCAGTGTAAAGGTACCTCCTCGAGCAAAAAAGTGGGACTGCTGTCGGCGTGTACACCACAGACTGATGGCCTAACTGCTTCTTCTTTCTTTCACTTTTTCACCCCGCCCCGGTGCGCGTTGTATGCGAGTATACCAAGACCTCTGGTCAGAGGACTCCACAACGCTCCACCTACACAGCTGAGCTAGTGGATACTAGTAGTCAGCCCCGACTCAATAGTTGTTTGTTCTCTCAACCCACAACATTTGTGTTTTAGTCGTTTCTTCGTTCTCCCTGCATGCAACTTGTTATCTTTCTTGTAATAATATTTAGTCTCGAGCCGGGTTTGTGTTCTTTGAAAAAAATATAAAATACACTTGAACACAGCCATGTGTGGTTGGTATGCCATATTAATGGGTAAGCGGTTCTCTAGATACGGCATGAACGAGACTTTTCACATTTTCCGCAGAACGACTGGCGATAACCTTCTGGACAACGATGAGATCATACTCAGTCTCGACGCTCCTCAGAAAGCAGGTGGGATTACCAAAGACTGGTATTCCGTGCCTCTGAATTGCACAAGCCGCGAGGAGTGGATTTCAAGAGAGGCAAAGTGAAGAGCCGGTCTGTGGATCACATCTGGAGTGCTGATCTAGTTGACGAATGGTTGTGGAACTTGCCTACTTCTTTCGGTGCTACATGTATCATGTGTGGAAACGAATCTGGTCATTTGTGGCTGTTGGTAGAACATCTACTTATGACATCGCATTTAGGTTTTTATCTCTATATTTAGACCCGGGTGGAAAGTCAAGGGATAATTTCTAAGGAGAAAAAGGACAAAAGAGCTACTTTGAAGTAAAAATTGAAATTACGCTTTAACTACCGGGATTATCCACTTACACCACCATTTGCCAGTTATGATTGCCAGTTAGGTGTAGAACGTCAGTACCGTTGGTCAGTGTCGTGCAATGTTATCGCATGAGCTGATTGTAAAGTAATAATTATGAGCCGCGCCATGACAAAAGGGTGCTTATGGCAAAATGTCACAAACTGAGGTATGGAAACAGCGCAATGGCTGAATTCTAACTGCTTCTGTTGCAAAAAACGCATTTAAAAAGATGGATAAATCGCAACGAAAACTAATCGAATTCAAAAAGAAAATGTGTACTCTCAATATTGCATACTCAACTTTCAAACGAGTTTTTCTCAGTTTGATGTCGCATGCCATAAGCACCCTTTTGCCATGTCGCGGCTCAATTGTTGTGCTAGTGTATAATAGAGCGTAACTTGTGGCTCGTTGGTCTCTTTCGTCTTATCTCTATATTTCTTGTTTATTGCATGTCTTCATTGATAATTTTATCAATAAAGTTCATCACCATTTTCTGGTAGCCAGGCCATTAACTTGGTGAGAAGGCATCGGTACCTGGTCATGTGATGATGTAAAGTAAAATACCACAGGCATAGTAGTTAGCTTGTCTTACTATCAGCGGACATCCCATTCAGCGGACATCCCATTCAGTGCCCTGAATTAATGACTTCTAGTCTAAATTATCCGTGTCTGGTACCTTCCCTCAAATTGTACTCACTATTTATTCGGGATTCAGGTGAGTAGTCCATGGTGCAGTTTCCATTTCCGCAGTCTTCTGCTGTGTTTTGGCAGTCTTCAGCTATGTAACAGTAGGATTGATTCAGGCTCAATTCGTTCTCACAAGTGCAAATGTAAGTAGAACCTGCTTTTTGGCATTGTGTGTATCCTAAACAAATTGGAAATTGTCCATTAGCTAGGCATGTGTATCCAGGTGATGAACAGGTCGGCGTAATAACTGCTACGGACTCATTACAACGGCAGTAGTAGTCAGCGCTTCCGTTATTGTTGAACTTCTGAAAATGTCCAGGTGCACAGGACTTTGACACTGGATAGCATAAGACATGAATATGCGAGATGTAATTTTACACTACACTGACAAGACATAACTGCCTGATACTTAGAAACAAAACACCCTTCAGGCTCATGAACATTTTGAAAGTTTTCACTAGTACGAAATACAGTTTCATGCCTGATCATCAAACAATGGACAATGGATTAAAATTAATAGAAAGGTTGTACTGCCCTTCCTACTTGCACTGGTTCTATCACCTCTCTAGTTTATTTAATCCATTGTCCATTTGATTTTGCCTGTATTTCACCTGATGATGAGGCATGAAACTATACTAGTGAAAACTTTTCAAATGTTCAAGAGCCTAAAGTGTGTCCTACTTCTAAGTTTAAAAAGGAGAAGAGACTAATAAGTTACTAGTTATGAATAACAGTTAAAGATAACTTATACAGTTACCAAACGAAAAACAACAAACTAACAAGGATATTGAGACATTCGACAACTGGACACCTACTTGAAGTAGCTCCAAAACATCTACGAAGCGCAAACCAAAAACCATCCAACTTGGAAGGCTGAGATGTAGAAAGTTCCAATTAGGCGTTGTTTTCGCACTACTTGACTGTAAAAGATACCGTTACCTTGGTGAACTGTTAGTCATACCTAGTCACGTATTGGTCCTTTTCTCGTCTTTACTTATTGTGTTGGTTCACCATCCGCATGTAAATAGACACACCTGATCAGCCGTCACCCGCAATATGGCAGGACGTACGTCATGGGAAACTACTAGTTATTGTTCCTAACTTGTCCTTCATTGTTACATGAACATCGCGTTTAGTAGAATACTGTAGTGAGTTTCGGCTTGTGGCAGTTCGTTTTCATAATTCGATGATACCATTTTTGATTTGGTCCGTCGATTCAGGTTTCGCAAGACGTCATGAAAATGTCCTTGGCAACTACGAAAACTGGAGGTAGCTTGGCGTACGGGTGTTTATATGCACACTTGCATGGATCATGGAATCGAGGTATAAAATGTGTACCTGGCAAAACATGTGCACAGGTCCTCCCTCGTTAGTAGATAATCTCTGGGCCATCGAATTTTGTATCTTTAACACAAGCATCTGCATGCCGCACTCACATAACGAGGAACCAGCTTGGGGAATAGGAGGGTTTGTCAATTGCTTCGCCAGGCTCGGAGTGAGTGAGTTAGGAGTGTTAGAGCTGTGCGAATGTTTGTGTATGGCAGCTGGGCAGGGCTGCAGAGGCTGAGTGAGCTCCATGCAGGCAGTTGGGGCAGGCCCTGCTGGGGAGACTGAGTGAGCCCTATGCAGGCAGTCGGGCAGAACTGCTGCGGAGGCGGAGTGATCCCTATGCAGGTAGCTGGGCAGGACCTGCTGGGGAGGCTGAGTGAGCTCTATGCAGGCAGCTGGGCAGGGCCTGCTGCGGAGGCTGATTGCTGAGGCCTGACAGGGCCTGCTGCGAAGGCTGAGTGATCTCTATCAGCGACACGAAAAAGAAAAGAGAAGGCACTATGAGGAGCCTGTGAGGCAGGTTGAGCAAGCCTCCTTTGTTCCGGCGATCATGTCAGCCAGTGGCGGAATGGGTCCAGCGTCAGAAGCAGTGTAGAAACGCATTGCTCATCTGTTGGCTGAGAAGTGAGGTGAGCACTGCTCTCATGTTAATCTTCAACATTACGTACAAACATCGAAGAAAAGTCTTCGATCAAGTCAACCAAAACACGATTCGAATGTCGAGGGCTCAGGCGATCATCCTCGTTCGAATCGTGTTTTGGTTGACTCGAAGACCTTTCTTCGATGTCTCAGCGACATCCCAAAAGGCCAAGCTCTAGCCAGCAGAGCCTGGAATTTTTGTAAAGCGTTCCTGTGGCGGCGCAACTCCTCCTGCCGCTCCAACAGGAAACAGTGGGAGTGATGAAGTCGCTGTTATTCCAGTTGAACTTTCGGAGCGGACTGACAGTCACACTCCGCCAGACGTGGAAGAACCTGTTGTCAGCGAGCAGCCATAACATGAAGAGCAGCGCACAGTGAAAAGTACCGCTGCCTATGTAAAGGATGCTTTGAGAGCGGTGAGAAATTGTTGGACTCGCATAAATAATTGCAGTTGATTCGCTCACATAAGGAAAAATTTATATGAAGACAATTTCATGGAGTCAGAAAAAGAAAGACAATAATTTCATGGAGTCAAAGAATAGAAAGACAATTTCATGGATTCAGGAACACGTGGTTGATTTTATAGACATGCATGCACAAATGATTGATAGATGAGAAGGTTGGAATTTATGGCAGATAATAAAAGTTTAACGAGGATATTCACAAAGTAAGTGTATCAATGGCAGAAAGAGCTTTTCGGAAGGGACGAGGGACATGTATCACTCTAAAACCAGAGGGGAGAGCATTCCAGAGAATGCTTCCCGAAACATCATGGTCGATCGTCCCATAGGCCGACGAAGAAAGGGAACTTGAAGCAAGTTCGACACTTGTCCCCGTGTGGTGCGCTGATCCTCCGCAACAGTCTCTGGGGCCGTTCGGGTGAATAACTGTTGAAGAAGGGGGCTACAGGAGGAGGTTCTTGACATCGGTTTTCAAAATGGCTGACCTGGGACAGTATCATGATGTCATCTACCCCCACCCCATCCCGCCTTGATCCCGGCCGCAACCCCCTCAGCCAAATCCTGGACACGCCACTGGTTATGGCATTTGTTAGATGCAGGATTTCCTTCAGCCTTCTGAAATCCTGTATCATGTGCATTCGTGGTTGTAGGCGTATAAATTTTAGTTTGAAATTTGCACCCTCCTGCGGAGCCCACGCTGCCTTGGGCAGTGGCTCGCTCGCCCACGTAACCGTCGGAGACCATCATGAACAATGGACTGATTAATTATTCACTTGTCCTGTCTTTCTAAATAACATGTTATTGCATATGTTCTTGTTTTAGTTTTTGGCATTTCTCGTACTTTGGAGTTATTTGTAGTTTTTGGAGAGTGAGCTCTATGCATGCAGCTGGGCAGGGCCCGCTGTGGGGGCTGAGCGAGCTCAATGCATGTAGCAGGGCAGGGCATGCTGGGGAGGCTGAGTGAGCTCTATGCAGGCAGCCGGGCAGGGCCTGCTGGGGAGGCTGAGTGAGCTCTATGAGCAAGGGCATTGAGGCGCATGATTGTACTACTGAGTGCAGTTCGTTTTTTTTGAGCTCGTAGATTTTTTGTCTCTTTTTCAGCCCAGCCGGCATCAGGCCGGACTGAAGGAAGGTATAGTATTTTTAGGTAGATAGTATAGTGTAGTTTTAGTCTAGGTAGGACACCGGTGGCAGGCCATCGTCATGGGTGAGCTTTCAAGTGAAGCCCAGACGAAACTGCTTTGTTCCCTCCCAGGGATCGAGCACTCGCTGTTAGGAGTTGTGCAGGCACTATCTTCCCTAACCACAGAAACCGCAGACAGTGCGGCGAGGATGAGCCGCAGAATTTCGGAGCTATCTGCAGAAGTCAAAGGACGAAAGGAGGAATTGGTCACCCTCAAGGCATCCGCCATTGCGAAATCGATGAGCAGCAGCAGGCCAAGGTAAAGGGCAGTTGGAGCTGGACACGCAACAACAAGCAGCAAACCGTCAACGGCTGTCACGGGGGACAAAGTACAATATGTACAGTGCACCGTAGCACAGAACACTCTGCGGAAACTCCATTGGCAACGCCTGTAGCAACGGACAGCGGTGGGGACGCGCACCGTGCCGGTTGTTGTGAGTCCCACGCTGCAGCCAAGCAGGCGGATATGTGTGCAACAGGTGAAGACGCCAACCGTTTGCAAAACTCTGGTTGGCTAGGCAACAAACCACAACAACAACGGTCTGTACCACCACTCTCCCCTGACAGTGACGTCTGGACAACAGTGTCAAACCACAAACCTCATGGACCGAAAAAGGCTATCTTCTTTGTGGGTAACCTAAAACGTAGTACCACAGCCGACCAGCTGACGACATATATCCAGCAGAGAGTAGCCACCACCACTGACAGAACGCTGAATGGACTATCTGCAAGCATTCTCAAGTCCAGTGCTGGTGAGCCAGCCCGGAAGTCTTCCGCTGCACATATTACAATGTATGCACGAGATGGTTGGCTACTACGATCGAGAAACTTCTGGCCAGGCCGGCTGTACTGCAGGAAGTGGCGATTCCGTGACACTGACGACTCATGGCCAGCAGGAACTGATGTCTCATCGCTTTACACTGACGACTTCTCACCAGCAGAAACTGATGACTCATCGCCATCAGGAACTGACGACTCATCGCCATCAGGAACTGGCGAAAGAAACCAGGCAGTATCTGACAGCAACGAGCTATTTCAGCCAGACATCGAAGTAGGAAACACGCTAGTGGCAGCAAAGGATAGCACAGCCAACAAGCTAGACTCTGCCAGGCCTCACACCCCGTGGAAAGGCACGGAGCCATGAGTCTACAATCTTTCCAGAGCACCCTGATTCCAAGAAAATAGACTCATGAACCCGCATGCTCAACCATTCTTCCCGCGACAGAAGCCACCCATCCAGGGATCATTGTTCAAATTACTGCTAACAAATGCATTTCGCCTGCTGAGTAAATTTGGAGAGTTTCAGCACACATTTATGTCCACCTGCCCGAACAGGGCAATCGTCACCGAGACGAAGCTTACCTCTGAGAAGTGTACAGCAATGGATGTCAAGCTACCTGGCTATTCACCGCCAATCCGCCGAGATCGTACAGCGCAAGGCGGTGGAGTCGCCGTCTGGGTACGTTCGGGCCTCGCCTACAGCCATATGAAGCAGATAACCTGCGGTGACCTGGAAGTCATATGGCTTACAGTGCAACTGCAAACAGGGTGTCGTGTTACAGTGTGTGCCGCTTATCGGCCAGGTTCTTTTGCAGATCATGACATCTCAATCCTGGAACATATTGACAGCACAATTGATCAAGTGCAACAGCAAGGCGCCAAGCTCGTAATTGCCGGGGAATTCAATGTGCACAACAGCAGTTGGCTTCAGAGCAGCAGGACGCC